AGACCTTTCTGGTCTGTGAAGGATCAAAGAGCTCTTCGATTTCTTTACAAATATTTTCATTTGTGTTTTGAAAATGAGCCAAGGTCTCTGAGTATTAGAAATACAGTTAAAGTCAGAATTAATAGCCCCCCTTTGAATTCTTTTTCTTTTTTAAATATTTCCAAAATGATGTATAACAGAGCAAGGACATTTCCACAGTATGTCTGATAATATTTTTTCTTCTGGAGAAAGTCTTATTTTTTTATTTAGGCAAGAATAGAAGCAGGTTTTAATTTTTTAATCACCATTTTAAGGACAAAATTATTAGCCCCTTTAAGCTCTATTTTTTTTCGATAATCTAAAGAACAAACCATTGTTATACAATAACTTCCCTAATTACCTCATCTTGCCTAGTTAAACTAATTAACCTAGTTAAGCATTTAAATGTCACTTTAAGCTGTATGGTTGTGTCTTGAAAAATATCTAGTGAAATATTATTTACTGTCATCATGGCAAAGATAAAATAAATCAGTTATTAGAAATGAGTTATTAAAACTATTATGTTTAGAAATGTGTTGAAAAAATTAGCTCTCCGTTAAACAGAAACTGGGGAAACAAAATAAATAATTCAGGGGGGCTAAAAATTCTGAGTTCAACTGTATATGATCGTGAGTAATGACAGAATGAACACTTTTGTATTAACTTTATTTAAAACAGTTGTGCTCTCCAATGACTTAAAACAGCAATGTTAAAATCTAGACATTCTTTGCTTTTATTATATGGCTGTTGAATAATTGATTCAGATTGATCTGGCATGACATTAATGTTATTCTGAGATAACAACCGATGAACAATGCAGGCTTGTCTGGATACTTTGAATCACCTTGAGCAACAGTGAATACATTCACATACAGTACATACGCCTATGTATGGGGGACATGGTGGCTCAGTGGTTAGCACTGTCGCCTCTTACTGATTCGAGTTTCAGCTGGGTCAGTTGGCATTTCTCCTGTGAGTTTGCATGTTGGTATGGGTTTTCTCCGGGTGCTTAAATAAACTAAATTGACCGTAGAGTATGTGTGTGAATGAGTTTGTATGGATGTTTCCCAGTACTAGGTTGCAGCTGGAAGGGCATGCGCTATGTAAAACATATGCTGGATAAGTTGACGGTTCATTTTTGCTGTGGTGACCGCTGATGAATAAAGGGCAAATAAATGAATGCCTGTGTATTCATGTGCTTGTCTGTCATGCCACTGTTTTTGATTGTTTGGCGGCATCTTACGACTAAATAATATGTAGGTTGGTGCATGCTTCATTTAGCCATTTTCATAACCATCACCTTTTGTTTCTAGTTTTTATATTTTTTGGCAGGTAGCCATGTAATAAGCAGGATATTATATGTGTTGGCGATTGTTTTCGCAGAATATACCTTTACGTTTTATACAACACCTCTTATTTTCGCCAGTATGCATGTCAGGCCTTATTCTGTGATAACAACTGCCTTAATGTACTTAATCTCTTACAATCATTCTTTCATTAATTTTCTTTTGGCTTAATCCTTTCATTCATCAGGGGTCGCCACAGCGGAATGAACCTCCAACTTATCCAGCATATGTTTGATGCAGCGGATGCCCTTCCAGCTGCAACCCAGTACTGGGACAACATCCATACACACTTTACACATATACACATACACTATGGCCAATTGATTTTATTCTCCTATAGGCCATGTGGGAAAAACCGGAGCAGCCAGAGGAAACCCACACAAACACAGGAAGAACATGCAAACTCTACACAGAAATTCCAATTGACTCAGCTGGGACTCGAACCGGCAACCTTCTTGCTCTGAAGTGACAGTGCTAACCACTGAGCCAAGGTGTCATCCTATTCTCTTACATATTTTATTGTATTGTATTTAATTTTATTCACAGTCATGAATAGTATACTCATGAATATTTTACTCATAAATCTTCAAATAACATGCTGATTTAACAAACATTTCCAGTAAAAAGGATATCCTTTTAAAACTTCAGCAATCTATTATTTACTATGAAAAAATAATTGTGGGAGTGTGGTGCAAGAAGTTAATTTTCAGTCTGTGAAAATGCTATTTTTACATCTCAAGCACACGACTCTGCCTCTCTTTTGTGTACCTACTCTTGCTTCAAAAACAATCTCTGGCATAAAAACATAGCGAAAAATTATGAATTTCATGAGGCTCCAGGCCTGCTGACAGATATCCTTGTGTGCTTTTTCCCCCGCATTGTTTATCCCTCAACTGCTTCATCCCAGAGGAAGTTTTGATTTTCTGCATATCTGATTATTCGCTCTTTAATTAGCCCGTGTTAATTTGCCGTGTTGAGTGTGTCAGTGATGGAAGCAGTTCCACAGGGCCTTCAGTCAGTTCATGCACTGTGGAACGGGGAGCTTTCTGGTGCCAGATTTCACAAATTCTCAGCGTAGCATCACATGTTGGTGCCTTTTGAAAGGGTGTCTGATTGACTTTCTTACTGTGCAAGAATTAACAGCTCTGTTTCCTTGGTATGTGTCTCTGATTCTTGGTAATTAGTCCCTTCACATCAGAGGCTGTCTTGTCAGAAGTGCAACCCCGCCGAAGTGCATTACCTCAACTATGACACTGGAGAATTTCATAATGAATATTAACCTGTAGCTACAGTATAAAGTGCAATGATAATGTGAGACTTTTATTTTATTGATTTTTCCTGCACAAATAAATCTAATTTAATCAGCTAATTTGTTTGCTTACTGATAACATTTGAATAATGAGTAGTTAAATGCTTTTGACTAATATTTTTAACAAAATTGTATTGTATATAGAAACAAAAAGCATCAAAACCAGAAAAGTGTAAGACAGTAAGTCATGGTGACATGTTTTTAAAAGTCTTATGAGATTCGACGTAATGTTTTTATGCAGTCATTTTAGTGTACAATCAAAAATAATTTAGCTGCTTGTTCAAACTATTTATTTAAAATGAGGTAAACAACACAATTTTTGAGATTTTTTTTAAGACAACTTAATTATTTTATGTTCAATCTACTTAAACTTAATCGATTTGTGCTGAGACAAAATGAATTGTGTGGAACCCTGCATTTTTTACTGTGTACGTTGCTTGCAATGACTTGTAAAGTCAGTTTGATTGAACTTTGAAATTTAAGAGCACAAATCATAGTTTGCCGTGTAAACGACTCACAGTAATATTTATTAATTGTCATTAAAAATCTTTGTACTCTTTTTGCATCATTTAAACCAGTAGGTTTTACCCGTTTTTTTCACCAATGCATTCTTAATCATTTGAAACGTAAATGTATGTTATATCAATACTTATTCTTTTAAAAAGTTTAAGATTACAATGTAGTTCAAAATAAGCATGTTGTTTTAATTAGTAGTAATAAAAGCAATAATGTCTGGAGTAATCATTTCATTTGAAACTACAATAAGAATGCAGTTTTTTTTTAATTGTAATAAATATTTAACAATTTAACATTTGTTTTACATGTAATAAATGTTGCATTGAACAGAATATTTTTCTTAAAAAATTAATAAATAAATAAATAACCCCAAACTTTTGACCAGTAGTGTATGTGTTATTATTATTATTATTATTATTATTATTATTATTATTATTATTATTATTATTATTATTATTATTATTATTTATTCTGGTCAAAACTACACATGTTTTCATTTGTTGTGAAAATCAGGATCAGTCAACTTTTCCTAAAGGTATAATTCACCCAAAAAGGAAAACTCTGCCAAAATTTACTCTCTCTACCTTGTTTAAAACCTGTTTACCTGTTTTATTTATTTCTTCTGTTGAGCAAAAAAGAAGATATTCTGAAGAAAACCGGAAACTTAGAACCATTCCAGTGTTTGGAAAAAAAGATATATTTTATAATCTAAAGTGACTTTAAAAATCAGCTTAATGTGTCACTTCAGTTTGTATGTTTGCATTTTATTTTATTTTATTTTTAAAAAATTAAGATAGGCATACAGATGTAATATATTACTTTTTACCCAACACTCTTAACTTTCATAGTATTTTTTTTCCTTTTATGGAAGTCAGTGTTTACATGTTACATGTTTAATCGTAAGCTTTCTTCAAAATATATTTTGTGTTCAAGAAATAAACTCATATGTTTTAAAACCACACTAGTGAGTAAATAGTAAGCAAATTTTTATTATTTTTGGGTGAACCTTAATTAAGTTAAACTAAATATTTTGTTATTTTAAGCTAAACAAATTAATACATTAAAAATCAACCAATTAATGTAAAAAAGTAGAACTGCTGTTAAAATTCCATCAGTTTACATAATTAAAAAAACATGTTTTACTTAATATTTTTGCATGAATTAACGATAAAGGTGTCATGTTATCAGACATGTTGTTCCCAATGCCAACATTTTATCATCGGAAGAGTTAAGAAATAAATATTTGATAGAATAATATCATTTAAAAGTAGTCTCTAATTCCCCCATGGCACTTCGTTTGAATACAGTTCTTCTACATGCGCTATTATTTACGACGGACCAAGAACAACACATACTGATGCTTTTGGTGACTGGTGTACTGAACAAAAGACGCGTGTTTTGGGCTATACCTTGAACAACAGTGGTTGGAGTGTGGATGGAATACGGTGTTTTTGTGGCTGTAGCCGGCTGCCTGTGTGTGTGAGAGAGAGAGAGGAGCGCGGCGGACGGAGGAAGAAGCGCACAAATGTTTCGCTGTGTGTTTTTGCTTCGAGCTCACCGAACAGTCTGCTGCCATAGCAACTGGCGAGGAGCGCTGCGCAGCGCCGCCTGCTTGTGCAGTAATGTCACCCTTGGCAACGTCCAATCAGAAGTTGAGATCTCTCTGTACAACCGTAGCAAAGGTATTGAGCTCCGAAGGCGGGCGTTCTCGATCAGCGCGAGTCGCTCATTGGTCACTCCGGCTGCCCGTCAAACGCCGTCTCTTAAGCGATTGGTTCGAGGCGTCTATTTCCAATATTATAAACATGTCCTCTGCTTTCCTGCCCCTGCAAGCACGGCTTGTGGAGGCGACCATACTATGGTGTAAGGAAGCGAGGGGGCCCGTGCAATTCATTATTAGTTTGAATCAGACAATATAAAACTCTGACCTTTTGTTTGTTTTATAATGTAACGGCATCTCAAATGCACGGGCGCGCTTTTAAATGAGGCACGCGTAAAGCGGAGACTTAAACGCTGCTGATTTGATGCTCTGCTCTCATCATTATCATCACCAGCAGTATCATTAGTAGCTAACTGGCATTTTGTTTTCGGGGGCTTCGGCGAGAAGTGACAAGAATCTAAGACCCCTCCTCTGCAGGGCGGAGCGTGCATTTTGATGTCGATTTTGTATCTTTTTTTCTTCTCTGACACGTCCGCACTGAGTGAATGGCATTGGCACATTGTCAATCGCTCACTACCGCTGCCATCAAACAACATAAAGCACACACAGCCCGCGCGCTCGACTCATAAATTTCCGCCAGCAGATATTTTTGCGCATCGCTTTATGGCGCGTGATTAATTTTTTTCGCTAGTTTTTCTATTTTACCTACTGAAAGTGAGAAAACTTTTTTATACGTTTTTGTATATATTTTTTTCTCTACAATCTTTATAGCTCTGGTCGCCGGTGCTGATGGTTTAATTTATTTCACTCGGGTTCTTTTATTTTCTTATGCAGTTTTTTTATTTTTGGAGGAAAAAAAAGAAATCTTTTTAAAAGACAACATTCTGCCAGTTGTCCACACTCAACCTGCGTCTTTTTAATTACACAATCATTAATTTTGATTAATTATCACTTTCCGTCAGAGGCATGGGATGTTTTGTTTGCAACTCTTTGTAATACTACGGATTTGTCCAAGTTTTCCAGAAGTGCACAAGGCGAAATTATCCTAAGAAGACAGCAAATAAGAATTCCAGACATCTGCAAAGGACCCCGGCTCTTCAAAGAGAAAAAAGACAAATTGGCATGAAGATTCGGACAGGATTGAACGGGCAACCGCTGTCACCTGAACGCTGAAGTTTACTTCAATAACAAACAAGAAAGATCATCGCTAATTTTCCTCTAATGGACATTCTTACAGGAGGATCAAAGACGATTTAAATCTTTTCCCGGGACATCAATTCCGCGATCCAGCGATTTATTGTATTTTTCTTCTCTTCTGCGTTGCTTCACGGTCAATATTTTGTGCACGATAGCGACCCGTTAAACGCCGCACATGAAATAATCAAGTTGTTTTTGCATGTGCATTATCCGAGTTTATTTCACCCATCTCAGTGACTGAGCACGAGCGCATTGATTGTGTTGCGGCGGACTATGGACGAGCAAGCCCGGATCATGCAGACTCTCGGCGGTGTCAGCCTGGCTGGTCACTCGGTACAAGGCGGCATGGCTCTGCCGCCTCCACATGGACACGACGGAACCGATGGGGATGGAAGAAAACAAGACATCGGTGACATTCTGCATCAGATCATGACCATCACCGACCAAAGCCTGGACGAGGCGCAAGCAAAGTTGGTGCATTTCTGTAATATAAACGCTTGCATTGTTTTCTTAACAAAGTATTCCATGCTTGCTCATTTGATTCTTTACAATAGCTCATGTTGCTTTCATTTACTTTTTTTTTCACACTAGCTAACTTTTAATTTTCACCCACTGGGTCACTATAGTAAACCTAAAAGGTCAAGTTTGCATCTGAAATCCATTTGACAGGTTGAAATCACGTTTCAGTGTCACAAGATCTATCCTAAATCAGAACATTAGCTGCTAAAGTTGTGCATTTTAATGTAAATGATACACAGGTGAAGTGCTCAACACATGTGAGCATCTCATTAAAAGTTTCTACATCTCACTTTTCTGTTTCTGAGCCGAAGAGGCCCTGATACTTTTACAGCCACTAGCCACATACTATAAATCTTTTACTTCTTTGTAAATTAATTTACATATTTAGCACTAATTAATTATACTCTTTGTTGTGAACTTTGTCTGTGTTTATTTCTAACAAACCAATGCAGTTTAAAGATACATTCCAACAGAAGACTTGATGCCTTATGAAGTTTTAATGCGACACAATTATGAGTTTTAAGTGACTATATATCAATCTCGTCTCTTGCTCCCAAATGGCACAGGAAACATGGGCTCAACTGTCACAGAATGAAGCCAGCCCTCTTCAGTGTGCTCTGCGAGATCAAAGAGAAAACAGGTAAGATAATGCATACCCTTACAAATGAAGCTAAATTAGACATGTCAAGAAGAAAAAAGCAACAGAACAGTGTCACTAATCCTTCAGACACCGCCATCTTTATTGGTGTTTTTTTTTTATTTGGTCGTCAGCGGAGTCCAGTTGTATCAAGCCACATCCAGCATCCACATTTCTCTGCTTCTCACTTGTGAAAATGAATAGTCATAATTGGATTTATCATTGCAAAATATACAACGATGATCCTTCCCCCCCTTCTGCGTTGCATCACAAGGCTGAACCGAGTGCCTTCTTCTGGGGCATGAATGAGAGAGAGGCACCCCGGCAGTTCCCTTGTTTACAGCGCGCTATTCTCACACCATTCATTTAATCAAGCAAGACCCACACTTGGGGAATTGCTCGACAATTATGCATCTTCGGGATATTCTGCATCTGCCACTGAGGATATGCTTTGTGCGGTGTTGGTTTAATATTAAGCTTGTTTTGTTTAACTGCACGCCCTGAGAGCGTTTGCGCGTGTTCGTGGTTCGGAGAGAGAGCGGTCCAATTCCTGCGCTCCTCTGGCTAATTATGCGACCAATTTACTGGATAATTATTGGCAGTATCGGCGGTCCTGCAGTTAATTATTGCCCCCATTTTATTCCGAAAGACGCCAGCGCTGTGAAGGTTACATCGTTCACCGACACGTGCAAAGATGCTTGGCTTTATTGTGTCATTGTTGATTTTTTTCCTTTTCTTTTGTGTGCTAAAACGCACTTGTTATGATCAGGAGGGATCGATAAGTTATTTATTATTAGTTTGATGCAACCAAAGTTGTAAAAATATTTAGATGACAAATTTTGGCTGGGAATGCCCTCATTGTTATACAAGAATTCTGGTTATCTTGTAATAAAACTAATATTAAATTTTAGACATGGTTATATTTATGTTTAGATTTTTTTCATTATTTATTAAGGAGCCTGGAAAGTGTAAATAACTGGAAGTTGCCACTTCTTTGGCACTTAACAATATTGTTATTTAATTATTAACATCTAATAATATTTTTGTACTGTGGCCTATGACCTATCTGACCACTGACCTAGATCTTGAAGTGTAAAAATAGTTTTAATATTTAAATTTCAACATTTGAATTCAGCAATGCATTGAGTGGCAACTGACTGACTCCATTCAAGGACCTTATATTAAGAATTGTATCTTGGCAGAAGTACAGGCGCACATTATTCTGCATAATGTTTACTTTCTTGTGCATTGCTCCTTCTTGTTGGATTAGAATTATTTTATTTCAGTTGATATACGCATGTCTGTATCAAACACAAAATATTTCACTCTTTCTGACACTCGAGCACCTCTGAAACAGTCTGTCGAGCGCGCACTGTAGATGAAGTCCAATGACAGATACAACATCAATTCAGCACGTGCGTTACCAAGGCTATATACCGCCTGCCCCAATGACACGGAACATTAGCATATGTCACTGTCTCACAAAAGATAGTTTTTTTTTTCTTTGAGGGGGAAATCAGCACCCGTTAAAACAGAATCAGTTTAGAACGTCCGGCAGTTTAGTGGATGTAATTTAATGTGCAGTTTTCCCTTTATGCTGCGACGGTTAACGCGCGTGATGTGCGTAAAAGCGCGCGCCTTCAGCAATCATGCAGGGCGCAGGTATAAAGAGAGAATGACCACATAACCTGATATGCAGAACCCTGAGAGACCATTAGAAAAGGGGCTTTTACCAGGAATGTGCAGTGTGTATTTCTGGATAATGCTGAAGGAGAATAGCAGAGCGAAATTCGTAAGGTGAGCCTAAAACATAATGGTAAACGCACTGAATTTGACTAAGAACTGTGCTTTTGTCTGTAATTTTATTTTTCTTAGCTAAATAAAATGAAAGCTTATTTTATAGCATGTTGAAATAAGCAAGTTTATATGCTTTGTAAAATTAAACAAACTTTAGAACTTTAATATTTGTTTGATTTTGTAAACAGAGAAATGTTTAATTTACATAAAGAGACCAAATATGAGTTTTCATTATGATTATTACAGAAATGGAATTGCATTCAAATTTTAGTTCATGTGTTTATCATGCCTCTGTGTGGTTGTATAGGGAGATTAGTGCTTTGCCAGATTTGTGGCCTTTGTGTGGCTTATAAGCAGAACTGACTGGAGGAAGATCATAAAACTTAATGAACTTCTCGGGCGTTGGAGGTCTCAACTGCGGGAGGGCAAGGCCCTGATCCACCGCCCGGTCTGCTTGAGTTGTTCTTTATGTCTGTCCAGAAAAAGAGAGAATGAGGAGTGAAAAAAAGAAGCCAGAAATTGATTAGTAAATGCTACTTGACAGCTTGAAGTGGCCACTGTTTTGTATTGTGATAAGACAGAAAGAAATTTAGTCACTTTTAGTAATTTAGAAATTTAGTTATCTTGTCTATGGTGTGAAATAGGTGTGTGTGTATATATATATATATATATATATATATATATATATATATATATATATATATATATATATATATATATATATATATAAGTATGTTTGTGTGTAGATTGTGTATGAAGTATGAACATTCCAGGTGTTTACATGCAATACTTGTCTCTTAAACTAATATTTGTGTATTTACATAATCCATTAATTGCTCACAAATGCAGTTAAATCTAAACATATTTATAACATATTTATATATATATTTTTTTACAAAGACCTATCCTTTGCATTTAATTTCCTATTGTACAAGCATTTTCATTATTTTAAATGCACCTCCAGCTGTTGACTGTGCTTCCATGTGCACCTATCATGTTACGTTTAATACAGCTATGTCCCTTATTACATTATAGCTCTAATTAAATATGCATAAAGAGTAGAGTCCCTAAGTATGCTAATTATTTAAATGAGCTTGTTTACTAGCTCAGTTGCTGTAATCTCGGTTAATCCCTTTGACGCTGCCTGTTTGAATGGTTTCTTTTTTCCCCTTTCCCTTCTTAACGCATCCGGACTAATTTCCTAACAAGCTTCATTCTGCTAATTTGTTTATTAACTCACAAGTGAACACAAGCATGCTATTTTCATACGCTGTAAATGTACGTTCAGTTTTCATTGTTTCCTCGCTCTTTGAAGTGATGTTTTATGGTCAAATGTAATTTTGAATCTAGACTAGTGCTTAAATTCACCTGCGGTGTAGTGCGCCGATGTTGAGAGATGTGAAAAGCTGTTGTTTTTTCACTCTTAGCGGAAGACTTCTTTTTTTCTCCACAGCAACGTTGAAGGACATTGTCTCATCAGAGTGATAAGAAAGACTTGCACTGATAAGCATGCTACTACTGCTACTCCTTCTTGTTTCTTTTCATCCAAACACATCTTCTGTGCAGCTTTTATGCTTTTAATGCACCTCACACATACCTCGTGAACACCTTGTGTCAGAGCCGTATGTGCATTTCGCTTATCATACTCAACAGATGCGCAAAAGAATTGAGGGCTTGTCGTGAGGGTTTATGCCATTGCATCCACTGCAAAGAGGAGCAATGCAAAAATGCTAAATTCTGACATGATTTAGTTCCTGGAAGTCATCGGACAGCACTGTCTGTGCAACTTGTGTATGCACTTGCAAATAACAACTGCTGTGAAGGTTTAATTTGCTCATGTTAGCCTTGAATTAGCTCATTTTCTTAGTGAAATGGTAAAACTTTCAAGTTGCGTCACTACTCAACAAATAGCTGTCATTGTTGAACTTGGTGAGTGTGATATTGATACAGTACAGTTTGTGCCATAGAGTCACTGCTAAATGTATCTCTCTTTATACACTAAGAGAAAATGCTAACAACTGCCAGCGCTGATGTATGAATAAGTTCCAATCGGACAGATTTCTTGGCCTTGTATTTGCCAATTGCAGCAGAGAACAGAGCTTTGAAAAGATGAAACATTCATTGTTGCTTTTGGATCTGATGCAAAGGGGGCTTAAAGGCGCAAAAAGGGTAAATCAAACCTGAAGTGTTTGTACTGTAACTATGTAAACAGTGAGAAGGAAAAGCTGTGTATGTACGTCTGTTTGTAGAGCGAGCGAACAGAGATGATCTGTGTGACTGTTCGGGATGCATGAGTGTGTACTTTTGCCTTGACTATGAGAATGTCAGAGATGCGCCCCCTAAAACTGCGAGATGTGTGGAAGAAAACTCTTTTAACGCTTATTCTAAAGGCTGTGAATGACAACCGTCATGTAAAAACGTGCTGAGTTAATTGTCAGATTAACCACAGATTACCGCAAATTCAAAGTCTTGTCGAGCTGAAAGGTTCGAGTTGTTTTCGGGATCCCCGGGGCACTGCGGAGAATCGGCATGAAGAAAAAAATCTTTCTCTTTTTCAAAGAGTGGCTGGGCTAGATGATGAGAGAGAGAGAGAGAGGGTGTGTGGAGGAGGAGAGAGATACATACATGGCGGATAAATGGATAGAAGCATTTTGCAATGCAAAGCTGTCTGTAGTGTTGGGGAGCTTTCTTGGCACTCCACTAACTGCTACTGGAGGCCCTGAGTAGATTTCCCCATTGCTAATGCCCTAGAAGTATTAATTCACTTTGATATGCTAATTAGAGGGCATTATGCAAGAAATGAGATTAAGTGGCAGCGTGAAGTCATTTGCCTGTCAGTAAATTGAGTGTTTTTAGCAGGAGGGGTTTGTTTTTTCTTTTTTCTTCCCTTCCACTTTCTCTCGCTTTTGCATTTAAATGAATCAAATGAAGGGAATGTGGCAGAATGCTTGAAAATCATTTTTGTGTTAGCAGATGCTGTTTTTTTCTGCTTTCTCAGTCTCTCTTTTCTTTTTTTCTTTTTTTAAGTGTCTGTTTTTCTAGGTCTCCTAAGACCTGTGGCCTCGACCGACAATTTTTTTTTACAAGTTAAATTATATCATAACACCATTATACAATGTCATCCACTCCCACTAAAGTGCTCGGGTCAGCTCTTTTGGTGAGGTAATTAACAAATCAGTTTATTTTAGCTTCTAACGATGGTGCTG